AAGAAGAAGAAGAAGAAGAAGAAGAAGAAGAAGAAGAAGAAGAAGAAGAAGAAGAAGAAGAAGAAGAAGAAAGAAGTCTGCACAGGTGCTCACAGAGGATAGAAGAGGGTGCTGGATCCCTAAGAGCTGGACTTATAGGTGGCTGTGAACCATTTAATGTAGGAACTAGGATTTGAAGTCTGGTCCTCATGACTGGGCAGCAAACACTATTTTGTCACCTGTGTGGCCCCTAGAAACAATCATTTTATCTTAGGTAAGAACAATGACTTTCTTTATGAGCTACTAGCCTCATCTGGAAATAAGAGAAATTCATGGTTAATTCAAGTCAGAGGACACAGATCTTCTTTCAAGAAGCTTTAGGACGTCATCATGTGGTAGCTTATATATGTAATCCAGCACTGATTGCTGAGGCAAGAGGATTGCCATAAGTTCAAGACCAGCATGACTATAGTGTGAGATCCTGCTGCAAAACAACAAAATACAAAAAAGGCAGCTTTAGGACCAAAAGCACCATCCTCTCATTGAAATCCATCCCATTTTTACGAGCTTATTTTAATTAGATCCTATCCCTGGAGGCAGCTAAATTGCTCCATACCTCCGTCTAGCACTCATATCCACAGGCTCATCATTGATGTTTTCTTTGCCTGGCCTTCCAGCAGTCCTGTTGTCTCCATGAGGCCTGAGATTTCCATTAAGTTTCTCTTCATAACCCTTGACACCACTGCCATCTTGTTTGGTAGGTAACTCATGCGGCACCTCAAGATTTGCCAAATCTTTCCTTTTGAGCAATGCCAACATTTTCAGCCGTTCCATAGCCTCATGCCCCTCCATTTTCAGTCGTTTTGCCAGGACATCATCTCTCTCATCTGCTGGGTCCAAACTCCTCTTCAAAAGATTCAGGCGAAGAGCATCTTCTGTCATTCTATCCATCCTATGGAATGAAAGATCAGAATAAAGTTCCTTATGTAGGAGTGTGAAGTGAAATGCTGAAATAAAGAAAAAAAAATTTCTGTAACATACATTTAAACTTACAGATAACAGAGCTAACTCCCAATGCTATTACTGTCCTACATCTATATTAAGTATTTCTCCAGTCAACTTTAGTAATAAAAACAAACTTCAAATACACTGTAGTCTTCAAGGCCTTTAATTATAAAAGGTACCCAAAATCAAATACTACTCTCATGTGAATGGTTCTATAAAAACAATCAACAACAACAAAACCATTCATGATGGAGATAATGGAGCTTGCCTATAATCCCAGAACTTTGGTGTCTGAGTCAGGAGGATCTAGAATTTAAAAATAGCCTGAACTATAATGTCAGATCCTGTATATAATGAAACAGACAAACAACTGGGCTGGAGAAGTGATTCAAAGTACTTGCTACTCTTGTAGAAGATTGAGGTTTGGCCGGGTGGTGGTGGTGCACAACTACATTTTCATTTTCAATATTGTTCCTTCTACTCACAGGTAAGTGTGGTCCTCATCTGGCACTGAGGAATCTTTGCTTTGCAATAGACAACCACTTCAAAAAACCTCAACCCATCGAAATGCAGAGTTACAGAGCCTATCTACAATATCTACAACTCCCATACCCAAGGCTCAGGGATTGGGGCAGAAAAAAATTAAAAGCCAGAGGGACAAAGAGTTTTGCTACGAGATTGTGTCTCCTAAAACTATAAGAAGTTTCTACAGAGTGAGTTCCAGGATAGCCAGGACTATACCGAGAAACCCTGTCTTGGGGGGAAAAAATGTAAGAAGCTACACCGACAAAGTTTCACCAACATGATTGTCTTCAACAAGAGTTGAACAAGGAAAACAACAGACATGCTAACATAGACTGACTGGGGAAAGCCCAGGATGCCTCAAACCTATACAATCAACTATAGGCAACTAAGGAATGCTAAGAGCTAGATTAATAGTCTTTCCCAGGGAAAAGCATTATCAGTTGGCTTTCCAATACCAAATGGTGAGTCTTGAAAATATCATACAAGTAACATTAAACAGATGAGACTTGGTATCTACTCTCAAATCTATACAAATCTAGATTAAAAAAAAAAAGTAAGACACTGCCTTTTCATATATATCCCCTACTATTATCACCAAACTTTCTTACAGCTGTTTCCTCCAAGGAAAGCTTACTATGATTGGAGGCAAACAACTCAAAACAGCTTCAGGAAGTCCCCAAAACTGACCAGATTCACTCTGCTCCTCCCTTCTCCAGAATATATAATCAGTAAAGATTACAGGGATTCATTTTCAGACCTTCTAAGCTGTCTGAAGACCAAAAAGCGGCCTAAAATAGTGGTTCTCAAACTTCCTAATGCTGCGACTCTTTATGTTGTGGTGACCCCAACTATAAAATTATTTTTGTTGCTACTTCATAACTGTAATTTGATATGGTTATGGATGATAATGTAAGTATCTGTGTTTTTTCATGGTCTTCAGCAACCCTTGTAAAAAGGTCATTTAACTTCCACAGGGCCAGGCAGTGGTGGCGCACACCTTTAGTCCCAGCACTTGGGAGGCAGAGGCAGGAGGATTTCTGAGTTTGAGGCCAGCCTGGTCTACAGAGTGAGTTCCAGGACAGCCAGGGCTACACAGAGAAACCCTGTTTCGGGAAAAAAAAAAAAAAAAAACTTCCACAGGGTTTACAACCTACAGGTTGAGAACCACTGGCCTAGAAGAAACAAAAACCAGCAGATCTGCCTGCAAGAGGCTCAGACCAACTGAGCCACCAGAAAGGACATTTTCCAACCTGTTTAGCTGCTACAGGGTGTGCACTATGCTCCTGGTTTCTAGCTTTGAGCTGTCACTCATGCTTTTGTGATAGAGCTGTCTTTGAGTCATTTCTACTACCATAACTAACCCTTCACCCAAATTCCTTTAAGTAACCTCAAAATCCATTGGTTCACCAAGCAAGGTAGAATTTGATGGTATCTGTACTTTAATCTGTCATCCCCATCCAAGATGAATGTGTTGTCATCCCTCAAGTTTGCCACATAACATTCTCCAATCCTCAATAAAAAAAATTATACAGTATGTCTTCCCACTAAAATTACATAGTGTATCTCCCTGCTCAGAGCTAGATACCCTAAGAAACAGTACTGTGTATTTTCATATATTGATATTTTTCTTGTCAAGTCCAGGCACATCCAGAACAGCTCCAGAGAAGCAACCTCCAGATGCTCCATCTCCTGTCACACACACAGCTGCTTCTACTGGACCTGTTCCTTCCGACCTATCCTCAGACGGCTCACTCCATAGACCCTGAACAACAGGAAACAGCCAAGTGTCCTAAGACTGGACAAACACCTCCATACCCATTCTTCTAGGTTCCCCCTAAAGACACATCGCCCCCAATGCCAGCAGGAAGTAGCCAGATTTCACGACGACCCTATTCCTGCTTCACAGTCACCTCTTTCTAATTTTCCTTTTTTAATTAAACCAAAATGGGGGAATGTTAGTATTCTGTCTAAACTCTACCTCCACAGTTATCTGGTAACACCCAGGTACGCTCCTCCCCACACTTACCTGGCAACAGGCAGGTAGGCCTGCCCACTATAAGGGAGGCTGCTAAAGGGGATCCTATGCCTAACTTCTGGGGACATCTCTATTCACATGTTAGTACTCTGTCTAAACTCCACCTCCACAGTTATCTGGCAACAGCCAGGTATGCTTCTCCCCACAGTTACCTGGCAATAGCCAGGTAGGTGTGCCCACTATAAAAGAGGCTGCTTGCCTCCTCCTCTCTATCTTACTCTCTTGCCCTTGCTTCTCCTAGCCCTTCTTCCCTCCCCTTCTCCCTCTCTCCACGTGGTCATGGACGGCCTCCATCTACTTCTCTCTTCTCTCTCTCCTCTTCTCTATCTCCTGAATAAACCCCCTCCCCTTTGGAAAAAAAAAAAGAATTCTGTTGAACTTGAGTGAGAAAATATTATTAGCTTGGCTATATAATTGCTAGCAGCCATCTTTTGACCAAGAGAGAAAGCAGCCTACTAGTGATAAGGCAGACACTGTGTACTACAGAACATAGTGACTACAACTAATTACATAGCTGTGTCAACATATCAAAGTACTCTTGAGCTAATCTATGCATTGTTATTACAGTGGCCAATAAATTATTTTAATATTTAAGCTACTGTTAGCTGGGTTTTCTGTACTTAAACAAAGAACATTATAATAGAGAGATCTGCTAAAACTGGTACCATGAAATCAAGGTGAGGATTTTAAAAAAACAGCTGCATATGTGGCGCATAAGCAAAAGACTCACAGCTTAGGGCAACACTAAGTGCTTAATTGAACAAGCATAGAAAGCAATTGAATCAAACTACTGAAAAAAAATATGTAGTTAGAAAGAAAGGAGCCAGGCTAGAACCTCAATTTAAGGGTTAAATTATAGGAAATGAGTCAGAAAGCAAGAGAGAAAGCTTGCCATATTAACAAATTAAAGTAACAAAGGAAAATAATTACTGTTGTCAAACAAATGCAAGAGAGACAGAACAGCCAGTAAAAAAATGCTTGTTGGCTAAACCTAACAACCTGAGTTTGACCCCTGGATCCATGTAAAAATGTCGGATATAGGGTTATACATCTATAATCTCAAAACTCCTAAGGAGATCGTTGGGAGGAGGGGACAGGAGAATTGTCCAGAAGCCCACAGGCCAGCTAGCCTGGAGCAGACTGTAAAAAACAAGAGACTCTGCCTGAAACAAGGTCCCCCCACGGTGACAACTAACTCCTGAAAGTTAACTTCTGATCTCCTCAAACACCACTCACACAAATCATATACATACCACACACACACAAGTATAGATACTCTAAATAAAAATTTTAAGTTTAAAACAGGTTCAAGGCCAGCATGAGATACATGAGACCCTATCAGAAAACAAAACAAGCTAGGTAAGATGGCACACACCTTCAATTCTAGCACTAGCACTAGGAAAGCAGAAGCAGAGGCAGGTGAAGTTGAGAGTGAGGCCAACATAATCTACATACCAAATTCCAAGTCAGTCAGAGCAGCATAGTGAGGATCCTGTCTCAAAAACAAAACACTAAACAACCACTACATTCTGCAATTCCTGTTTCTGCCCAAATCACATAAGCGGAAGCAGAGTTACATCTCACTTGAACAACAAAAATTCATCCAAACTACATCTTAAACAGGGTTTTCAAGGTACGAAACACCAAGCAACAAATGTCAGTGTAAGTGGTAAACAAAGTAAGCCCTTCAGCTGCCCTTGTTCACTGACATAAAAGAATTTCTAGGGCACAGTTCAGGGAAGAGAAACTGGGGTAAGATGGAGTTGGAGAGACGTAGCTGAGAACAAGTAAGATAATGGCAGCTAAACTTCCAAGGATAGAGTCTAACAGAAGAAAAACAGTCTAGATCTCTCTCAAATGACCCTCCTTACACAGTGAGAGACTCAGAAGAACTGATTAGTATGTCACTGCCTTTTGACCTCCACACACACAACATGTGCATATTCTCACTTTCAGACATGAACACAGGTACACACAGATACAAAACCCAAACATTTTAAGACAATTATTTGGGCTGGAGAGATGGCTCAGCAGTTAAGAGCACAAGAATGCTCTTCCAGAGGTCCTGAGTTCAATTCCCAGCAACCACATAGTGGCTTACAACCATCTGTAATGAGATCTATGTCTTCTTCTGGTGCAACAGTGTACTCACATATATAAAATAAATAAATGATTATTTTAAAAAAGACAATTATTTGATTTAAAACAATTATTTGCTATAGAGCTGTATTCCACATGCTGAAATGAGAAACAAAGAAATGTACAAAGATTCTCATCAATAATTTATCTAATATTAGAAAATATATATAAATAGGTTATAAAGATAGATATATCCTTAACAGAATAAGATGGAGTTCAAAATACACTCTTTATAATATTTGTGGTCA